GGTGTCGTGTTAGCTCCCTCGCTATTGTAACTGGGGTTGTGCCCTGCGATGACCAGTTACCATCTCTGAATCTTCACCTCTACGCAGGGTTGGGGTGCTGTTATCCATGGATGAATCTCTTGCTGATGCCAGCCTTCCTGCCTGAAGGCACTCCCGCCCCTGCTCTGGATCCCGTGATACTAAGGAACCTGCTTAGAAATCCTTATATTCATCACACAACTAGACCACCTGGACTGCAGACCTCTTTTGCCATGAACCCTAGGCATGTGCTTTGTCTCCCAGGACAAGCCTACTTGCTCCAGAGTCATTTGCTGGAGACACAGTTGCTGAGCTACTTCTGGGAACTAACCTCTGCCCACCTGCCCCTCTGAATTCTGGGACCCACCAGTCCCGGTTCCGCACAGACTCAGACCTACCTCCTGGGTCCTCTTTACCTTCATGGACAGTAACAACTGATATTCAGAGGGGTGACCTGAAGCACTGCGGATTTCATCAGAAAGAAATAAAAATGTTGTTTTCGTTCATGTTTTACTTATCAGTGCAGAAAGCAGAAGGAACACCGTTAGAAAGAACACCAACCACCAGGCTGAACTACGGTGCTTCGATAAAATCCTCACTTAGAAAAGAAAGATGAGCACAAGAAGCCGAGGGCTGTGCTTCTTTACTTCAGCCACACTAAGTTCAAAATGCCCAGGACCGGGACGGGTGCTCGTTACCGCCTGCTGAATGGACGAAAACTCAAGTCAGTCTAAACACAATGTTTGATCACGAAAGGTTTCATTAGTTTATGTCATCACTCATTCATCAGACATATTATTAGTCAGGTGCTGTTTTTTAGTCATTTTGAAGTTTATAATTTTAATACATCAGAATAGAAGATAATAAAAATAAACACAGCCGAAACCGGTTTGGCTCAGTGGATAGAGCGTCGGCCTGCGGACTGAGAGGTCCCGGGTTCGATTCCGGTCAAGGGCATGTACCTTGGTTGCTGGCACATCCCCAGTGGGGAGTGTGCAGGAGGCAGCTGGTCGATGTTTCTCTCTCATCGATGTTTCTCTCTATCTCTCTCCTTTCCTCTCTGTAAAAACTCAATAAAATATATTTTTTAAAAAAAATAAAATAAAATAAACACATAATAAATATAATAAACATGAAGGACACAGAGGCCAATATTGTGGATCTCACTAGGAAATGTGAGTGAAACATATGTGCCTGCATATGAAATCCTGGCAAGATGGTAATGCTTAGGTAGAAATATATTTTACTTTTGGCAATGATAGAGGGTCTTTCTATGACTGGGATACACAGGGGACTAAACATAATAATGCTTTATATTGTCAAAATACTTGACAATTTACAAAATACTCCAACATATGAAATCATATTTGTTGTTTAAAAGAAGACAGAGGAATATAGCTTAAGAAAATTATACGCATCCCTCTCTTATAAGAAAATATCTAGTGGCTTATGAAATACAACAGCTTTCAAAGAGATTTCTGCTTTATCATTAACAGTAATGATTCAATGGTAGCAGAGGAAGAGGTAGGAAAGGTACGCTCTACAATAAAGAAAAATGGAACGGAAAAATGCAACTCCCATTTACTGTGATGAAGACAGACTTCTATTATTCCACCTGGGACAGTTCTACAATGCAGTTCTAAGAGATAAGTAATGCGAGGCTGAAGTGAGTAATGAGACTCACGGAGGAGGAATTATTACATGCTTTCCATTTATGTTGCACTGTATTGATTGTAACGCACATCGAAGCAGCTCTAACTCTGGGAACCCAGAGAAACTATTGGGAAGAATTCAAGAGGCAAACTGGGGATGCAAATTCCGCATGGGTTCTCGGCCAGCCCAGCGTCCTTTCTTACAACCAATCAAAATTATACCTACTTTTTGTGCATAATTCAATGTAAAGTCTGGTAGGTCTTTTCTTCTATGCACACACTTAATGAGTCAATAACTTGGAAGGGTCTCTGCACTTTGTTTTTGATAACTATTTTGTATCAAGCAACAGGGAGAAGAATGACCAGTATGTGTGTGACTCTTGTCAGATTTTAAAAATAATTCAGCCTCATAATTTAAGCAGAGAGAAACTGAAGCTTCAAAAAATGTTTTAAAAATAGGTGGAAGAAAAGTCCATCAGTGTTTGGAATTAGCTAGACTGAGGACTACTCAAATTCTGCCCAGCTGGTATGAGCATTGGTTGAGCATTGACCTGTGAACAGGAGGTCACAGAGGGCCATGTAGGAGACAGCTGATCAATGATTCTCATCATTGATGCTTCTCTCTCTCTCTGCCTCTCCCTTCCTCTCTGAAATCAACAAGAATATTTTTTAAAAATTATAGGAACTTGAACTAGCAGGTTTCTAGCTGTCAAAATTGAAATCAAATCTGCAGGGGCCAAAATCTATACTAATAAAAGGATAATATGCTAATTAGACCAGATATCCTTCCAGACAAGGCCACGGTGGCGGGGACTGAGGCAGAGGCAGTTAGGGGCGATCAGGCCGGCAGGGGAGAGCGGTTAGGGGTGATCAGGCAGGCAGGCAGATGAGTGGTTAGGAGCCAGCAGGATTGGGCCTAAACTGACAGTCGGACATCCCCCAAGGGGTCCTGGATTGGAGAGGGTGCAGGTTGGGCTGAGGGACCCCCCACACCCATGCATGAATTTTGTGCACCAGGCCTCTACTGTTGCAAATAAGAATGTAGTCAGATGCATCGCTGGTGTGAACTTCAGCTGACTAAACACCAAAATAGCCCCACAGTCTGTCTCAGAGAAACTAGCTTTCCCAGCAGCCCCTTTGACTTGCAAGAAATTTCTATTACATTTTCCTAACAGGAGGTCATGCTTCCACTGAAATGACAGTCCTGCTCAAATTGCATGGAGCACCGAAATTCCACAACTTTCTGAGCACTGGTTTCCAAGCTTGGGAATGCTTGTGCTACTGTTTCAGAATCAGCGGCTCTGACTTGAAGAGGCTGCACTCCACATGTCCCCAAGTCACCTGTTTGGAGCTTGTAGCATACATTGATATAGAAATCAGTCTCTGTGGGATTTGGGGGCTCCTAAAGCAGCCAGATCATCACATGGCACCTGATATACCTACTATGTGCACTGTAGAAATATGAGACCTGGGGTAACATCTTTAAAATACGTTTTCTTTTAAGCATCCTAATGTGGGATGTCTGGAATGTGGTTCTAATCTCAGGGCCAGGCACTCCCCGTCCTTGTGCCTCGCAGGTTTCCCAGGCCCTGGAATCACCATCCCCCAGAACCTGGGACACAGCAAGTGTCAGGAGTCTGGGGCAAGAGAGGAATGGGGTTATAATTTCCCACTAGCACGCCCTGTCCAAGGAGCTCTCAGTCCCTCCTGCTCAGGGTGTGCATCTGAGGAGGATCTTCAAAATGCAAATTGCTTACCTAAGGCAGAGATGACCCATAGGTTTGCTCTAATTGCCTCCTCCACCCTCTGTATTCTGGGAAAGTAGGAAGGAGTAAAACTGTCCTTTACTTTGGGGAGTTAGAAGGAAGGTAGAAATTTGTGGGCTGCATCCCCGAGAATAAAAGCAGGGTTTGTAGTTACTGTCTCAAAATAGAGACAGGCTGTAGAGTACAGGATGCTGCACTCTCCCGAGATTTAAAGATGTTATCATCGCTCTTCTGTTCCTTTCAGTAAACAGCAATAAAATCCTTAAAATAACAAGTTTCCGTGCTTTCTGGGGAGACAGCATAGACAGGGCAAGTGGAGGAGGCTGCGCATTTCCTCTCCGAGTGCTGCTGTGGATTCTAAGAGGTGTACCCTGTAAGAATGCCGCCGAGAGAAGTCATCCAACTGGACCCAGCAGCCTGGGCATCACAGGCAACTCATTAGACAGGAGAGTTCTCAGGCCCCACCCTAACCCAACTGAATCAAAAATTCTGGGAGTGAGGCCCCACCCTCTATGGTCAACCAGCCCTTCCAGGCGATTCCAATGATCAGATCCAGCTTGAGGACCACCGGGCAGGGGACAAGGACTCTAACAGAGCTGCTCTTGAATCCTGGCTCTGCCACTATACAGTGAAGTGAGTTGAGCAAGTTAATCTCAGCAACCCTGTGAGGTAGGTACTATCAGTGTATTTTACAGATGAGGAAACTGAGGTATGCAGAGCCTAAATAACCCAACCAAAGTCACATAGCTGAGAAGTGGTTTAGGACCAGAGCCCGGGGTTGAGCTATTAATTTCATTTAATTGATGCCAAAAAAAAAAAGATGTGCGATGCGCTCACTTATTCATCCAATATTTACTTAATATGCCCGACCAGGTGATACACTGAGAGGCGAGGAATAGGAAAATGAATAAAGATCTCCATTCCCGTAATACTTTAAGCAATAAAACAATTTTAAAAAATCTCCATTCCCCTCCCCAAGAAGTTCACGACTTATCTCTTTTGGTTCAGAATGAAGAAGTGACAGATGGACTCATTGTAAAAGATGATGCTCTGTGTCTGCGTTGGAGGCAGAAAAGATTTTCCGCGACTCCTCCCTTCCATGGCCCTTTACAGAACCCGCCAGCGTCAGCGGTTCTGCTCCCCGCCTGCAGAGCAGGACCCTCTGCGGCCCCTCTCCCCGCAGGGTGGGACCTGCACCCCATCAGCTCCGGTCACCACCCCCTCCCCCCTCCCTCCGCGGGACCAGCTGTCCACACCTTAGGGACCGAGGCGCACCGCCCGAGGGCTGGTGGGCTGACTCCCCCAGGACGGAACTTGTCACTTACACCTAAAGTGCCGACTGTTAGGGAATTTCCCGGGAAAGTGACAGAAGAGGCTGAGGCCTGCTCCTTCGCATCTGCCATTTAGGCGCTGGCCACACCCCCGTGCCGG